GGAGCGATGAAATTTGGGAGAAGCTTTTTCAGACGATTTGCTAGTATCTTAGATATGATTTTATATATCACATTACAGCACGCAATTGGCCGATAATCCTTCATAGACTTTGCACCTTCTTTCTTAGGAATCAGCGCAAGAATGGTTGAGTTGACCCCTTTGGGAAGAAATCCCTTAACAAAGAATAACTGAATACTCACCACCAGATCCTTCCCAATGATCGGCCAGCTGCCCTTGAAGAACTCAACCGTAAACCCATCTGGCCCTGGGGACTTATTCGCTGGCATTGCGAATACCACATCCTTGATTTCCTGCTCTGTTACCTCTTTCACAAGACTCATTCTTTCTTCCTCTGAACATCTGTAACCAATAAGATCCTCCATCTCACCACTAGAAGTATCGCAGAGGTCGTCGGGCACCAAGTTTAAGAAGGCGCGGAAGTGATTTGCTGCCTCATCTTTGATCTCATTTTCATCCCTGATTATAAACCCATCCGGTTTTTCCAGCTCCCTAATTCCATTTCGAGCCGCACGAATTTTAACAGCTCTATGAAAAGCTTTTGTGTTCCTGTCACCCACACTCATCCAATGCAGCTTTGATCGCTGCCATAAGAATTGCTCTTCAATAGCTGCAGTTCTATCCCACCTCTCGTAAGCCTTACGCTCCTCCTCTTGAGCAGATACACTGGGGCTTTGGAGAACTTGCTCCTGCTTTACGCAGAGATCCTCATAGTTTATCAGGACCCTCTTTGATATATCGCTAAGCTCCTCCCTTGCGATCGTTCGAACTATGGGCTTGAGATACTTAAGCTTTTTTGAGAAGCGGTAAAGAGCAGAAGTAGAGTGAAAAAGTGGAACTGTTTCATCCCAGTAGGTTTCCAAAGCTTCCTTAAATCGTGGGAGAGCAGCAATGGCATTTGGAAATTTAAATGGTTTCCTTCTGCCAAGATTCTCACCATTCACATAAAATCTACATCTTAAATGATCTGAACAGCCCCCAGCATCAAAAACACCATAAGAATTAGAATTATGATTAAGCCAGTGGTCATTAATCAGTATTCTATCCAACTTCTTGCAAATTAAGCCTTCCGATCTCTTGTTGCACCAAGTATATAACGGTCCATGGTATCCCATATCGCACAGAGCACCATCTCTAGTTATTTCCTGGAAATCATGCATGCCAACGGTGGATACATTGTTCGAACATGAATGCTCATCAGAAGTTATGATCTCATTAAAGTCTCCCATAATTATCCATCGCAAGCGTCAAAAAACCGGTGAATCCATATGACTCCGCAAATCGCTCCAAAGCTCCTTTCTATCTTCCAAGAAATTTGATCCGTACACAAAAGAACATAGGAATTCATCATCCGATCCCTGAATCTTCACCAAGACAGTGATCAACTGGTCGCTCTTGAATACAGGCGTCAGGCGAACAGAGTCTTGCCAAACAACCCAGATTCTCCCCATTCTATGGTGCTCATAGTTATGAAGAAAAGACCAACCCGGAAAAACTCTATTAGCAATATCTTCTGCCTTACTCTCCTTGACTCTTGTTTCCATCAATCCTCCAAATAAAAAGTCATGTTTCCTACACCAACTCCCTACAATCTCATGCTTCTTCTTTTTATTAAAACCTCTAATGTTCCAGAAAAAACAAGACATTAATGATGGGGGTTGTTGTTTTTGTTTTGGTTTCTCTTCTTAGCCGAGCCCTTTTGTGTTGAAACAGAGGTCGGCTTTGAAGTGGCAGCTAAATATCGATGTGTGGACTTTGATTCCCGTGGAAGTGAGACTCTCCCACCTTCCACTGCGGTTTCATCCTCCTTCGTTGGGAGTGTCCCAGAGTCAAGTTTTTCATCTCGTATTTCGCCCTCTTCTTCCTCAACTTCAAGTAACTTCACGTTCCATCATTTCCTGGTTTTCTGCAGCCTCAAGCTCTGCTATTATATCAAACCGGGAGGGAGAAATAGTCACACAGTTCCCTTCCACCTCCCTTCGAACTGGTGCACTTTTGGACTTCCCCGGTGATTTTGCAACCACCCATTGTCCCTCCAGCGGAGCTTGATTGCTCACGGTGACCTTCTCTGGATTATTGTCCACGGGAGCTTTACCGAGAGACTTTGGCGTAGTTATCTCTGGGCTCTTCTCCAGACTTCCCCCATTTGCAACCCCAGCACTCTCACATGGTTGATCCTGCAGTGCTGGAGCGAGATTTTTCAAACCAGAATTCATCTCCTTCTGATTCGGGCTATTCACCCTTTGCAAGGTGATCTTATCTCCCGGACTAGCTCTGCAGTCCTTAGCCGCATGACCCCACTTAGCACATGAAGTACACCTAGGTGGTAACCAAGGAAACTCATAGAAAACCACCGCATTCAACCCTGTCGATGACTTAAAACTAAAGGATTCCGGAAGCTTTTTCTCAAGATTCACTTCCACGAACACCTTTGCCTCTTCGAAGTCTTTTGCCCATAAAGTCTCAGGATGTAACTTTTTAGGCTCACCTAGCGGACTTGTCAGGAAACTAAGCCCCTTCCACGAAAACATTGATCTTGGGACGTTTCTAACAGTCACCCACATCGGGATCGATTTCACTTCCGGCTGAGCTTCCTCCACCACTGGACTCCACTTCGAAACAATCATTGGAATATTTTTGATACTCCACATACCCCTGCGCAGAACCCGTGAACGAATCGCTGCGTCCGGAATCATAAACTTTATCGTTGTTTCATCAACCACAAACACCTCAATCTTAGAAGACTTGCCTCCCAAGTTCCAGATTCTATTCACCTTCATGTGAATAAACCCTACATGTGGGGCTTTCGAAACGAACTTTCCCACAACACAATCCTCCCATAAGGGTGGAGCATTCTCAAAGACCGAGTCTGGAACCAGAATCGTTTCCACACCATCAATTTCCTCGACCACAACATCATACTTTTGCATCCCCAATTTCGGAGCTACAATAGATGACCAAGTCTTTCCCTCCGTTGCCTCATTCGCCACCAAAGAACCGCTCTTCCCTGAGAGATCAGAACCGGTGTCACTGGGGATCACCTGCTGAGATTCCTCCACAATCTCCTCCTGCACCCCATCCGTACAAACCTGCGTCTCCGGAGCCTCCAGATTCACAGACTCCTCAATCACCAACTGATCCGACTCCACCCTCTTTCCATGATCGTCTGACGTCATCTCCCCCACCTGTGACGGAGGAGTCACCTTCTCCGGCGCCGTCATGATGGCCGGAGCCCTTACGTGGGCAGGACTCCGGTAAAAACCCTAGAAACCCTTTTCGCACTTCTAATCGCCTTAGAATCTCTAGTCTTGCGATTCGAAGACCCAATTTTTGTTTACAATGCTCATTAATCAAGTCTTTGGTAAGGCTCGCTAATTCCTTGGCACTAGGGAAGTTTCCCCTTGTTTCTTTCCTAGGTTTCGGGACTAATTTCCTCTTTTTATATTGACGAGAAGAAGGCGGCCTTACCGTGCCATCGGCTAGCTTTGATTGCAAGACACAGAGTTTAGAAGCCATACCTAGTGTCCTCTCCCAAGTAGTATTACACAACAAGATAGAGTTTACCATATCTTCAAAGAGAGACGGTGAGCGGAAAATTCGACCAAAACCACTAGTCTTTGCGGCTTCATAGACTTCTTGAAACTTGGTCACGTCACGTTGGCCCTCGGGTGATATTCTAAGCATCCTCGCCACTTGTTGCAAGATGAGTTCTTCGCCTACCCTTGAGACATTGTTGATGCCATGAACTTGGATTACAAGAAAAGAGAGAGTGCGAGGATGAGAGATGGTCACGTTAACCGAAGACGAGTTTGAAACGGTTAAAGGCTGACTTAGTGACCTTGTTTTAGGGTTCCAAATGTTTGGCGCCATCATGAAAAAACCGTGGTTACAAACTGCTTTTTCCATATCGAAACTTTCTTCAAACTCTTTTAAATATAGTCTCAGATTCATCTCTTCTTTCTATGAAATTTTTTCTTTCGATTTTCTACGTGAAAGGTCTTCTCCTGACTCTTGTTATCGGTTTTATTACGTTCCTTTGGCTCTTCGTAAGTCTAACAAGTTTTGAGAAACATCATAGAATCATCGACCAAGGGGCAATCATCAATTAAACTGATCCGGGTACTTGTTATTGGTTTTTCAAATCTGATTTTTTTTTTCTTCCACTCTTCAGTTGTTGATTATGTCCCTTGCCTCTTCCTATATTCAATTTTTGTTTTTTATTTTAATGTTTTGATACTATGGATTTTAGTATTTTGCTAAAGTTAAGATAAATTCATGATGAAAAGAAAATTTAGGAGCGTTTGTTTTTCCTTAATGAACAAGCAATCGTATTACTTGCGAAACCAATTTTATTTTGAAAATTTTTGTTCTCAATTTTAAAAGGTAAGAACACTTTATAATCCAGTTAAAAAGGGAAACTTGAGACATATTTATATTTTAAATATTTTTTTTACCACCGCGACATTCCATGTGTAATTTGTCTTAGAAACATTGGTATTGACTAATTAAGTTTAATGTATTTACTTTTCCAAATTTTATGTGTTTCATTTTAAATTTTCCTAAAATGGCTGAATTTAATAACTCCGTTTTACGTTCCATGACTAAAGAAAATACAGTCGATCAATATTCTGAGATCACGGTATTCGAAGAATGTCATAAAAATCATCACACAAGAAAACAAGACAATTGTGTCAAATGAAATGCACCAAAGTTGACATCAACAGTAAAGAAATTTAAAAATAAAGCATCTCCAACAGCAGCAGGAACCCCTTTTTAAACTTAAAAATAAAGATTAAAGCCTAATAAACCTCAGAACCGTTTCTTCCATCAGAGCTTTTAGAACCCATTAGCAGCCCCATACGTGTCATCATGTGTTTGGTGGAGAGAATTAATAATTTATTTTTTTAATTTTTCTCTCTAAAAACTCATTCTGTTTGTCCATTTTTGCTCTCTCATTTTTTTCCCACCCAACACATGATTTTTCTCTCGTTCTTCAGAGAAATCGAAATCAGAAATCCAAATCCAAATCTCACCATTTTGTTCTCTTAGATCATTTCGATAAGCTTTTTTCTGTCCTGCATGGGGATTCGAATGGATTAATGGTGTGGAAGACCAGCTATTTTGGACGAAAATCTCTCTCACGGAATATCAGATAAGTTTCGAGAATCTCTTAAATTCTGTAGATGAATCGGTTAATTATGCTTGATGAATCGTTTTATTTGTGGAAGCTCTTCGAATTTGTTTTCGATTAGTTAGGGTTTCCCGTGATGTAATCTCTTAAATTTCTAGTGATGAATCGGTTAAATCCACTTGATGAATGAGTTGTGCTCATCGAATTTGTTTGCCATGAGTTAGGGTTTCTCGTGAAGGAATAGATCTATATTAATTGTGTGATGTGCTTAGATGAGTCGACCAATTGATTATTGTCTGTGATGTTGTGAATTCAGCGAGAAGGGTGAATCTGCATTCAGTTGATCAATATCAAGCTCGACACAAGGGTTGTTGATCAAGACAAATACACATGGTAAATATCTTTTCCTGTAAATCCTTTTATTTTCTTTTGGAAATTATGATTGCATAGCCATTGTAGCTTAGCATTACCTTTTGTTTTTTGTTATGTGGTGTGTGATTAATGGTTAATGGTAATCAATGGTTTGTGATCAATGCTCGGTAGTTTTAGGTTAGGTGAACTCATTACTTTGATATTGACTGCTAACAACACAAACACAAGCTTGTCAAACACAAGCTTGTCAAACACAAGCTTGTCAAACACAAGCTTGTCAAACACAAGCTTGTCTAACTTAAACCCTTCATCTTAAATATTAAAAAAGAAGCTACTAACTTAAAGACCCACCGAATGCTACTCAGAACCAAAACCCTTGTTGTCTTCTCTTTCCTTCTCATTGAATCACCCATCGATTACTACTCACAACCCAAATCCATTTACTATTCTTTGTCTTTCTCCTTTCAAACATCACTTTAGAGAGATATGGATTCTACAAATCCATATACTGACTCTTCAGGATTCATGGATCTCTTAAACAGTCAACAAAATACTGAGAGCCATGAACCTAATCCTTACGATAGTGTTTCACCAAGTATTGAACTTGGTGAATCAGAAGCTCAAGTATTTCGTACCCAATGGGGTGCTGCTCCAAGCCAAGATGAATGCACAGCCAAATCCGCAAAACCAAGAATGAAGTGGACTCCATTGGAGGACATTGTGCTCATAAGTGCATGACTCAACACAAGCAAAGATCTCATCGTTGGGAATGAGCAACGAGCTGATGCATTCTGGAAACATATTGCGAAATACTTTGCATCAAGTCTGAAGCTCGCCGGTCAAGAAATGTGAGGGCCTAGTCATTGCAAGAAAAGATGGGCCAAGATAAACGAGATAGTCTGCAAGTGGGATGCTGTGAAGCTGCATCAACTCAGAGAGAGAGTGGACAAAATGACAATGATGTCATGAAGGTGGCCAATGACATATAGCTCAATGATTACAAGTCCAAGTTCACTCTGGAACATGCTTGGAGAGAGCTGCGACATGATCAAAAGTGGTGTGAGAAAGAAAAATCAAAAAGAAGAAGGGTCGATGAGGGATCTACACAGTGTTCAAGCTCACACCATGGAGTGGAAGATGCAATGCCACGTCCTCCTAGTATTAAAACAGCCAAGGAAGGTAAGGCGTGTGGGCACTGAAGCCACTGCGGAAGGAGCTGGGAAGTCTCTCTCAGAGTTTGAGAGTCTGTGGGAGATTAGGCAGAAGGATTTTGCATTAAAGGATAAGGTAAGCAAGCAAAAAGTGTTGGAAAATCTTACTTGCTAAAACAGAGCCACTAAGTGAAATAGAGGAGACTTTAAAGGATAGGATAATAATAGACATGTTGTCAAATGCCTAAAGACGTTGTGTTGCCTTTGTATGAATGTTTTAGATGTTTTGTTTGTTTTAACTTGTCGCATATGGATGTAAAATGTTTGTTTTTCCGAAAGGCCATGTATTTGTGTAAGCATCTTAAAAAGTTTATCATATGATACCCTATGTATTTGAACTTGTTCATGTGTTCTCTTTTTGGTTTTGAACTTGTCGCATATGGTTTAGGGTTCAGTTTTTTAATAGAGTTATCTGGATTTGTTTCTTCTTCTCATGGTATTTGGATTTGATGCAGGGCACAATGAAATCAATGATTGATAACACCGTATTTTGTTTATGGATCGTTTTGAAATATTTTTTTGTGTTTTTATTGCTTTCAAGTACTTTTCTTAGGTTTTTCTAGTATTTGTAGTTCCAAAACTCTTTTCAGGAAACTTAGAAAAAAGCTTAACAAAATGGATAGAAAACCAGATTTTCAGCTCAGAGTCAAACTGTCAGAAGTTCACCCCTGATTGAAGGCCTTCTCACCTTCTGATCCAGCTCAAATTTGGAGATCTCAAAGATGGAACTATCAGCTTTCCAGCACACTTTACAGCTTGACAATACAACGGTTCAATCAAAAGTTACGCAAAGAGCAAGATGTCTCGTAAACCAGCCGGCAAGCATTTGCACCCGCGGCCAACAGCCATATCACCACGGTCAGAAGCTACCCGACCGCAGCCAAACATCCATTCACCGCGGCCACGCACTTCCCGATCGCAGCCAGTCATATCGGAACTAGAAGGCCCATTTCTGAAGCCCAGATCATTTTCCCAGCCTCAATTCCGGAATCCTAGAGACCAAGGAGCATTGAAAGCTATAAATTGTCATTTAGGTCGTTTTTAAGAAGAGAAGAGGAGAAAGACGAAATACTTTAGAAAAGATTCAACTTTAAGCTTTTGTTTTAGGTTTAGGGAGAGAGAGATCTATCTCTTGAACCCTTTTTCTTTCTTCTTCAATTTCGATTATTGCTCTACTTTTTAATACTAAGTTTTTGATTTCGTTCATCATGTCTGAGTAGTTTTATTGTTGGGTCAAAAGGATTTTCGATGGGGATACATGTGTTCGATGAGGATTCCATGAGTTATTGAAGCCGAATCCTAGAACTTTTTCTTCTGAATTTACTTTTACTGCATGGGAGTAGCGCCATGAACTACAATCTGATTCAGATGCTTGGTGACACAAAAGCGTTCATCCGGTGTCAGATCTAGTTTGGGAGAGCAAAACAAACATAGGAGTGGAAACCTACCTATGAGCGATTTTTGAATGCTGACGAGTCTTAAGCATATTGCATCTTTTCTTTTCCAAGGCCAGAGTGGAAACCTACTGGTCAGGGTTGAGAGAGAGATAGTTGTCTATGATCACGACAATAGCGTATTCATACGTCCGTGACTCGAGTTCGAAAATTTTTAGCTAGGATCTTATTAAATTTACTCTTTAGCTATGTTTTGAATCGTTCATACCCCAGAGAAAACTTCCCTGAAACCCAGTGCTTCTTTTCATCCTTTTCATCGATTTTTATTTAAGCAATTAGGTCTAGCCGTTTTTCTACTTTTTAGTCGATTTCATTAAGTTTAGTCATTAGGTAGTTTTAGTTGTCGTATTTTCGAGTTAAGATTAGTTTTTACATTTTAAAAACACCACCAAAACCCTTACGAAAATCGCCTGGTTCTAGACTTCCTTACTTTATCTTTCTTTCGAAGGCTTTTGCAAGAAAGATCATCTTTCTCTGTGGATTCGATTCCTAAGTACTACAATCGATCAGCTGTGCACTTGCGGCTATTGATTTCATTTAGGGTAAAACTTAACACCCTCACCACACGACACATCAAAGGGCTTAAAGGATGCAGGGCACAATCGTTTTTCAGTTTTGAGTTTTTCATATTCTTGAGTTTTGGGTTTTTTTGGTAGATGTTTTACGAGTTTTGGGATAGTTTTGTGGTTTTTGGTAGATGTTTTATTGTTTTGGGATCATTTTGGGGTTTTGGTGAATGAGTTTTAGTTTTGGTCGAGGAGTTTAAGTTTTGGCCGAGAAATTTTGTCCCAGTTTTGTTTTTGGTTGAGAAATTTTGTCTCAGTTTTGTTTTTGGTCAATAATTTTTTAGCTTAGGTATGTTTTTGGCCAATAAATTTTTAGGCCGAGTAACTTTTGGCCGGTAAAATTTTTTTTGGGCCGAGGTTTTCTGTACTTTTTGCCGACTTTTTTTGAACTTTCGGCTGAAACTTTTTTGGGCCCGATTTTTTTGTCCGACAATTTGTGGCAACATTTTTTTGGCCGACAATACATATTTTGTTTTTTTATACGTTTGTCTTTTTTTGCCTTTGTATTTTTATGGCCGACACCACACATTCAATTGTATTTTTATGTAGACACCACACATAATTCTTATGGTGCAAACTCGTTCTTTTTTATTTGCTACAATGTAAACTCAATCTTAGTGCCTAGATAATCTCCATTTGGATTGACCTTCAAGTGCTACAACATAAGAAGTTAATTGATCTTAGTAGGCTAAAAACCTACTATCAGGACGCAATCCAACGGTTGGATCATAAGTTATTTCCAATTTACTGAAGATATGTTCTGCAGTCTCGCGAATGAAGCAAGAGGAAGAATGAAGTTTGGGCATCATAGACCAATCACTGCGGTCCAGGAGCTCGTGACCGCGGTGAACACTATCCTGGCCACTCCTCATAGCCTCCATACACGGTGGACCAGAATTTACCAGCCTTGGAGAGCCCAATTCTGCGACAAGCCCATTTTTGGCCCAATTGCCTGTTTTCAAGCCAACTCATTCTCTCTTCACAGAAAGCCCTAAGGACGACCAGAAAAACTTGGAGACCTATAAATATGTATTTAGAAGACCTAATTTCGTGTGTGCTCCTTTTCCCTTGATAGGGAGGCACCCAACTTTTGTTTCTTAGGTTTAGGTTAGGGAGATAGAGATTCTTCTCTTAAACTTTTGTTGTTTCTTTTCATCTATTCAATTTATGCTATCTATTTCTTTGCTTATGATTTCTTTCATCATGTCAGAGTAATTTAGTTGTTAGGTTTAAGGGATCCATCGAAGGGGACTCCATATTTGACTAGGATTGCTGTTGTTTTCTTAGCCATATTCTAGATCTCATCTCTTCTAAGTTGTTCATAATGCATGTAGTTAAACTCGCGATCTAACTACTGAATCTAGGAATCAGAGCCACGAGAGTGTTGTATCAGATTGCCAGAACAAAGCTTCAGCAAAACATAGTCGCTACAGGAGTCGAGAGCTACCTGTAGAGAAGATGTGAGCAGACGAATTCAATGTCTAATGCATGATCTTATTCACGGTATGAGAGCAAGAGTTAATTGCCGAGGTAAGTGATTAGTTGATTAAGGTGACGAGAGTTGGTTAATCATACATATGTCTATTCCAGTTCCATGCAGATCTCAGAAGATAGATGAAGATAAATCGCCCGGAAGCTAATTGAAAAGGCCACCATACATCGATTAGAGTAAACCGGAGAAGTGTAAATCGCCACCTATGAACTTTAGAACCCTAGCATGAATCGAATATCCCCTAAGATATTCCTGTCAGCCCAACATTCGTTTTAGTAGAGTCTTAGTCTTGTTTTAT